GAAATCGTACTAGAGACTGAAACAGGTGCAGGTCCCCATAGATCAGTATGCAATAACATAAATGGAGCAGTAGCTCGTGAACTAGATAGAGGGAAAGGCAGACCATGAGATTTACCATATTTGCATGCTTCACAAAAGTTGACATTATCATGAACTTTCACGGACAGATTACAATGTTTAATTAAGCTTCTAAAAACTTGAGAAGACGGACGTCCAAGTTGACGATGCCAAACGTCCTTGGATACCACAACATTTATACTACTAGATGATTTGGGAAGAGACACATAACAAATAGTTTTATTAGCAATCAACTCAAAGCCACAGTCAACTGGAGTTGAAGTACTCCCAGTGACTACTCCAACTGTATTGAGGCAGTAAAGTCCATCTCTAAGAGCCCCTTTCAGCACTACTTTGCCCGAACGTATATCCTTTACAAGACAAGAATCAGCATGACATTCAAGGTATATGTTATTGTCTTTAGCGAGTCTGGACACGCTAACTAGATTTTTAGCTATGTTAGGTACTCACACCACATTTTTAAGCATGATCAACCCACCGTCATAAACTAAACAGGATTTACCAACATGAGATATTTTTAATTTATCATCATTACCTACTGTAACTCTTTCCATACCTCCATATTCAATAGGTTGGACCATATTGTTGTAGTCCACGGTGATGTGATTTGAAGCACCACTATCCACATACCAATTCGGGTATACCACTGTTTCTGGATTGGTCAAAAAAGGATTGTTATTTTGGGTTGCCTGTGAAGGCATAAGATGTACCTTGCCCAGTGTTGTTGTTAATCCCCTGGTCAGAGTCGTCGTTGAAGTTTTTACCCTGACTTTGTGTATTGTTCCTGTACTCCTTATCAAATCGATGGTAGCACATTAGTGCTGAATGTCCAGGTTTACTATACACCTGACAAATTTGCCGACTATTGTTGTTGTTCCACCGTCCTCTACCTCGATTTCGACCACCACCGACTGTTGTTGAATGGTGACCGAGAGTTTTGATTTGGACGTTGGTTTCCACCACTTACATTTCTGCTATTATCCATATTCACTGAAACAGAGTTGTTAAAAGATACTGTATTTTTATGAGAATTCTGAAGTTCTAACCTTTTCTCAAATACCAACAATTCGGCTTGCATTTCAGGCCACGAAATGTCTTGTTTTCCTTGGATCTTTGCTACCACAGGATTATACTCTTCAACTAATCCCAGCAAAACTTGAGAAATAAAGATCGAGTGGGTACGGGACTTCCAACTTGACCCAAATTGTCTGCATGAGACTTTATAACACGCAAAAAATCAGTCATTTTAAGAGAACCTTTTCGAGTCTATTTAAATACCTGACGGAGATAATCTTCTTCAGCCCATAAATCAAGAGCATTTTCATACCCCATCACCTGCATTGCAACTTCTGGTGCCATAGAGTTATATAACCAGCCAAGATGTAGCTGGTCGGTAGTTACTCATGACTCATACAGTGGATTGAAGGCTGCTTTCATTGCTATAGATGAACTCGACGATGCAGATGCGTTCGTTTGGCTTGTTTCCATATTACCAATCGACTATTGCACAAACATGGGCAGACATGGGTGGTCGCCGGAGAGGTGTCTCTCTAATTTGTAACTTCATAATATTGGTAAGGTTAGGTTTTTCCACAACAAGTAGTTGCTTCTATCTAGCTTTATTGTGGTGATTTGGTTATACAATTGATTGAGTGGTGGGCTGCTAAAGGTTGGGTGGGTAGAGGTGTTGGAGGAGGCATTGGTCATTACACCTCTGATACCAAGTAAGAATTTCACAAGAAGTTTCACACTGAAAATAAGATGTTTGTATTTGTTTTCACTATTTTATGATGGCACTCAAAGGTCCTATTTATACAAAAGTGTATCCTAATTTTAGAAGAAAAAAAATCTAAACTTAAAAAAAAATGCACAACAACTTTTAAGGATAGATCTTCTCGTTTTGACTATGACTTGGTGTATGGCTTCAACTTCCTTGTTGAAGTTACGTTAACAGAAAAGAGGGAATTAAAATTAGAAATTAAAAAGATAATAATAAATAATTTACGTTAAAATGATGACTGAAGTTAGAAAGCGTGGTAGTTGATTACCCATTTTGGATAGGTGGAATTTCAGTTGATTAATAAAATATAAATAAAAACATATTTGAATAAGACTATATGTTGATTGCTAACTTAAAAAATGAATGAGTTCATCCACGAAAATGCCACAGAATTCAAAATAAAAATTACTAGGAACTAAAATTGAATTGATATCTCCAAAACGAAGGAGATAAATCAATAAAATATGAAGTCAATTGTACTCAAAAATAAAAATACTCAAATATGTGAAATTGAAAATATAGCCTGTAATTAATATAAAAAGCATATCTAATGTTAAATAAATAGATAAAATAAAATAAAATTGTAGCCAACAAAATGTCCCACAAAATCATAGAAAAGTTATCATGCAACAAAATCTTACCCAAAACATAAAATTACAAAATAATAATAATAATAAATAAAACTTCAATATTGCATCTCTTGTTTAAGGAGAGAAAAATTTACATTACATTATTACTGGCTTTAGAAAATATTGTAGTTGATTCCTAAGAGAATTTCAATGGATTGATGGAATAGATAGAAAAAAATATAAATATATTTGTATAAGATTATAATTTCTAATTTCTAAAAGGAATTACTAACTTATAAATTAAATTAGTTCATATCTATGAAAATTCAAAATAAAAATTTTGATGGACTAAAATTCAATATCGATATGTATCTATAAAATCAAAAGATATCAAAATATTGAAATTTGTGAAATTCAAGGCATACCCTGCAATTAATATAAAAATCAAGTTAGATTTTAAATAAATAGATTAAAAAATAAAATTGCAGCCAACAAAATATTCCACCAAATAATGGTAGAAGAGATACAATGCAACAAGATCTTATTGAAAACATAAAATTAATGTGCTTTAATTCAAGGAGACTGTATAGACTATAAATGAGAGAGAAGAAGTTACATGATTCTCTTGTATATGAAAGAAATGAAAAATTAAAGGAAAATCTAGAGAGTTGAAAAGAATTTGCGAGTCTCGGATCGTTTCTTGAAGAAAAATAAAAGGAAGATGTATATGAGAAATTCTTCTACCTCATTGTAAACAATATACTCCCCTTTCCCCACCAAACAAAATACAAGAGAGAAGAAAAGAAAGCATCAATTGCAAACCCGTTCTTGAGGCTAATTGTAGTCAAGTCAAGAACAGACTGACAAGATCTGCGGGAAAGATTACGTCATAGACTGATGAAATATATAGAAAAGAAAAGAATATTTATATAAGATTATAATTTCGAATTTCCAAGAGAAATTACTAATTTAAAAAGCCAATTAGTTCATCCAAAGAACTAAAATTCAATTGATATTACGAGGACGATATCAAAATACTCAAATTTTAAAAAAATTCAATCCTTCCTACAAATGTTGAGGGAACTAATAATGACACAGAAGAAGTGATAAGTGACGGGGATTATATAGAGTTGAAGATGTCATTTCTCTCTCGTTTCCTTTCACATGAACCGATCATTTTATATAGGCAAGGGGAAATTTCTAGAAAAGTAGAAGATGCACTTGCGAGAGATGGAAAAAATAAACTTTATATAAAGAGAGAAATAGTTCTATAGACAAGGGAAACGATAAACCAAATTTTTAAATTTTTAAAAAATAATAAATAAAACTTGTACTTCCATCCCCTTGTTGAAAAAGTTACGGGGATGAGGCCAGAGAGAATGAGAGAAAAATGCAGACGGTGAATAATTTTTAAATTTGTTAATCCTTAATTTTAAATTTCTGAACTTTATTTTTTAGTTTTGTTTTCTTTTAATTATTTTTCTATTTATTCTTTTATTTTTTTTAAAAGTATTTTTTTTCCTTTCACTTAGAATAAATAAATATTTTAAAATAATAAGATAAAAATAATTTGACTTAAAAGAGAGATAATTTGAAAAATATTTGTGAGAAAACGCTCTTACACACTAGGGAAGATAATAATAAATAAATAAAACTTCTTCCAGACATCCTGTCTGAGGTTCACAAAGTTAAAATAATTTGAAATTAGGTGCGTGATTTGAAATCCAATAATTTTAAATAAGAAAATAAAAACTTTACTTTTTATAAAAAATAGAAAATCAGGTGCTAAGGAGTTCATTTGAAATCTTTCAAAATCAGAAGTACCAAAGAGAGGATTAAGGAGAGGAAAATTTACATTGTCAGAGAAGGTAGTTTATTCCCCTATTTTGGATAGGTGGAATGTTAATGGATTGAAGAAATATGAAAAAATAAATTAGTTATCTATGAAAATTATAAATAACTAAAAATCAAAATTAATTTCATAAGGAGCTAAAATTCAATTGTATCTACAGAGTGAAAAAAGATACCAAAATACTCAAATCAGTAGAATTGAAAACAACTACTATAAAAATCAAATCAGGTCAAATAAAATTGCAGGCAACAACTTATCCCATAAAATCGTAGAAGAATTACAATGCAACACAGAAAACATTAAACTAATGTGCATAATTAATTTCCCATATCCAAAAATCATGCATTTTACCATTTGAAATGAGTGTAGAACTATATTTAGTTCAAGAAGCCTTTGTATAATAGATATGAGGGAGAAGAAGTTATAGAATTTCTCTTGGACATAAAAAAATAAATAAATAAATAAAAGAAAATCTAGAGCCGAAAAGGATTTGTAAATCTCATATCTCCATAAAGGATAGAGGAAATTTGAAAAAAAATAATAATAAAGGACGATGTACGGGTGAGAGATAGATGGAAAGATGAAGCTAAAACAAAGGAGAAGAAGGAAAAAAATAATRATAAATAAATAAAATTTCTACCTTGYATTTCCTGTTTAAATTTACATCTGAATTTACGTCACTGTATCGTCAATCTTTGTAGATTGGATTTCCTCTCATAAGTTTTAAGATACTGGATGTTGGAAAAACAGGATACTCCCCTCGTAGGAACAGAGGACAAGACAACATCAATTACAAACTCACTCCTCAGACCTGGAATAATTTAGAATGAGAACGAACTGGTTGTCAAACTGGCCACCAGATGAGTGGAAATAAAGTGGTGACTCTCTATAAAAAAATTTTACCCTCATTAGAGGACACTGGTGTGGTTCCATAACTTCTTGAGATTTCAGTGGATCTATGAAATATATAGAAAAAGAAAAGAATATTTGTATAAGAGTATAATTTCGAATTTTCAAAATAAATTAGCTCATCCAAAGAACTAAAATACAATTGATATATAACCAAGAAGATATCAAAATACTCAAATCTGGAAAATTGGAAACATACTCTGCAATTTATATAAAAATCAAATAAGGTGTTAAATAAATAGATAAAATAGTAAAAATATAATTAAATAAAATTAAGAAAATTTCAAAAATATAATAAAATAATACTAAGAAAATTTCAAACCTTCCCGCCAATGTTGAGTTCAAAGAGATGGTGTGAACTACAAATGAGACGATGTGAACTACAAATGACAGAGAATGACAGGTCCTGTTGAAGATGAGAAAAAATTGTATGTGTGTTAAAAGAAAATTGAGAGAGTTGAGAAAGATTTGACGAGTCTCAGATTTTTCTTTGTGTTTCCTTTCAATAGAAATCAATCCCTTTATATAGACGTGGAGAAAGTGAGGAAAAAGATAAATCGAATTATACATTTTTAAAAAGTAATGAATAAAATTTCTACTTGCATCAGTTGTTTGACATGAAGGAAAATCTACATCATAGTGATTAATAGAAAGTGGAAGAAAACGTGAAAGAGGTGAAAAGAGAAATGGTGAAAGAGACACAGAAAGTTACGTATAATTGGAAGAATGAAGAAGTTAAACGAGAAAGAATGAGAGAAAAAAAAGGAGATTCGAGAGATTTAAGTATATCTAATTTGGAAAAGATATATATATTTTTTAAAATATGTTAATCCTTATTTCAAATTTTCAAACTTTATTTATTAATTTTGTTTTAACTTTTTTTCTGTTTTTTCTTTTTTATTTCAGGAATATTTTTTCTTTTTACTTAAATATTTTAAAATAATAAAGATAAAAAAAGTAAATATCATATCTACAAGTTATTTTTTTGTTTTTTAGTTGATTAAACTCATTTGGTCCTTCCTTTACACTTGTTCTCAAGAATGAAGATATATTAATGAGGTAATTCATTATGTTAAAGCAAATAAATTGTATATATGCATACAATATTTTACTTTTATTTCATTGATGAATCATTTAATAATATATGTTAAAAAAATCACTTAATATATATAAACATACACGCTAGTTCAGCTCATGTGTTGACAATAAAATATATACATATTTAAATTATACGTATGTATTCCTTCTAAAAAAAAATGATATGTATGTTTTGAAGGATATATTAAGCATATATAATAACACACAAGTTGATAAGTTTTTTAATTTGTTATGTACTTTTTTTCTGCATCCCAATCAAATTATTGTTAATTTTTCTTTTTTCTTTTTTATTTTTAAGTATAACAAATTGGGGGTATCGGAGGTTTGAATCTCTAACCTCAGGAAAAGAAGTTAATGTCAATTACCGGTTGAACTATGCTCATGTTAACTCATATTAGTCTTAATTAAAGAAATGAGGAAAGAAAAAATATGCTTCTATTAGGTGCTAACCATAACTTTTTTTTCGTGGCATTTAACCTAAAAATTAATATTAAATTAGTAGGCTGATGCTTAAACTTTTAAAAGTGTATCTAATAGGTCGCTGAATTTTAAAAATGTTTAATACCTTGAAATTTTTAAGGTTGTATTTAATTGATCTCTTGATTAAAAAAATGTTTAATAGGTTTCTAAATTTTGAATGTTACATCAAATAGATTTTTAAATTTTAAAGAAGTGTCGAGTATATCTTTGAACATTTAGGTCTATCTTTAATAAGTTTGTGATCTATTAGATATTTCTCAAACAATTCAAAAGGTGTATTAGACACGTTATTATTAACTAGACATGTATAGAATATTTAGAGACCTCTTAGATTCTTTTAAAGCTAATAAACTTATTAACACAACTTTTAAAATTTTGAAAATAAATTTGTAATTTAACAACAATTAATAACAAAAGTTTCATACTACAAATCTACCTATATATGCATACATTCAATAATTCAAAAATGAACTAATGTTAAATTTAATGCAATTGTGTTTTCTATGAATTGCCATATATTATAAAATGGTGGCATGATAACTTTATTGTCTATCGTATCAAATAAATATTTTCCACTATAGGATATGATGGTATGATTTATCTATTAATCTACTGTTCTTTTATTATTTTATATTTCCCACTTAAATTTAAAATAAATAGAAAGAAAAGTTTTATTGCTGTCATGTTTGTTCATTTGAGAGCGATTTAGCTAACTGAACGCAGTCTGAAAATAAATAAAATAACCAATAAAATTAATTATTAGATTTGGTTAAAAAAACAGATAAAATAAGTTAATGTATTCGATTATGAGAATATTTAAGTGTTTCATCGTGAATACCTTATCACCCATAAAAATTTTACCCTTTTTAAATTAAAAAAAATTATATATATATTTTATGTATTTTTCTCTTCTACTAATAAAAATTTTAATCTGCCATAAGAGTATAGTTCCATGGTAATTGATATATATCTCAAGTCCAAGTTGTGAATTTGATCCTCCACCTGCACATATTGCACATATTATATTATAGTAAAAAAATAATGATGGTCTCATTATTAAACACCTAAATATTTTTCTTTAATTAATGGTAGGTCATTAAAATTTCTGGACCAAATGCCTATGTGAGAGAAATGTGGGCATATTATACTTAAATGGAGGGTGAAACAGGGAATTTAACCATTAGTAAATAGGCTAAATATATCATAGGGGCTAATCTTTTAGTTTAGTTTTCAATTTATTATTCAACCCTTTAAAATTATCAATCTTATCACTCTAAAAAAATAATAATAATAAAATAATTAATCCAATGTATATCATTAGACACATAAATCCGAGATTTGAAAATTTGTTAATAAAATCAATAATTTAGTGATAAATTAGTTTTATGTAATTAAATTTAAACAAATTCTTTTTAAGGACCCCATTTAAAATTTAGTATAAGATTGAAGGTATAATCAAGAACGTCCAAAGATTTATGATCAAATTATATTTAAAAAAAACCTTAAAAGATCAGAATGGCTGAGGATAATATATTTTTTATATTTCCATGATGACATGATATTGTCCACTTTGAACATAATCCTCACGAATTTACTCATTCAAAATACCTCATACAATTATCATCATCCATATATCTATATAATTATAATGATATGATATTTCTCTTATTTAATCCATGTAGAAATTTAATTGTATTCCGGATCCAACGAGGACCGTTTAATATATTTAGGCAAGGGAAAGTAGTTAGAGACAACTAATCTTTACTTACTAATCCGAATATCTCTACTTACTAATCCGAACATATCTTAAATAAGACATTTTCCTCATCTCAAGGTGGATAGTCTCTCCTTCTGACCTCTTCAACCGTTAAATTGAAAAAAATAATAATAATAAAAAACAAAAGAAAAAAACGAATACATGTGTATGAGGAGACGCCATTTGCACTGCCACGGCTTGCATTTGTCATTTTTGTCAGATCAGATGTAGCAATTCGAGAGCTTCAGTAAACAAGCTTTCTACTCTCAAATTTGTCTTTTGTAAAGAAATTTCAATTTAATTATTAAAAAAAAAGTTTTGAAGTTTTCGTAGAAATTGTAGTGGGCTTCAGAAATTGGTGAACACGTGGATGATCGAACGCTGGATCCACCCGCATGAACAGCACGCGTTCAAGATTCCTCTTGCAAACGCCGTGTTCTCTGAGCCTCCTTAAACGACACCGTTCTCTACGGGATGTTGCAAACTGCATGCCGTCTAGAATCAATGAATACATTTTAGTTACTAATTTTACATTATAACACTTTCTATCTATATATATATATCGTTATTAAAGAACAATTATAATATGGTGGTCTCTTTCAATCATTTTTTATAAACCATATTCTCACAAACAAAACTTGCAATGTTATTTATTTTGAAGACATTTACATAAATAACATAAAATAAATATATTTTTCAAATATTTAAAAAAAATTAAAATATAAGAAATAGCACAATTCTAATCAGTTAAAACTCAAATGTATTATAAAATATATTTAAATTATGTTTATGTTATATTTGAGAGAACAAATAGTTATGACATAATTATAAAATACATGCTAATTTGAACTTAATTAAGCGGTAATTGTAACTACTCTCTGATCAAGACATCATAGGTTTAAATCGACCTCTGAGTATAAAATATTTATTTTGCTAAAGTAAATAAAAAATTGTTTTAAAAAGATTATACAAGATTTATATGTTTAATAAGTTCTTTAATTTGGATGTGATTGTAGATTTTGGCTTATGATTTCATATAAACTGATTATTCTCTAAAATTTCTCCCTTTAACAACTTTTTCTTTCTAAATTTTGTTTCATTAATTAGAAATTATTTCTATCTTCATAAAACCTATCCATTTTAACATAATATTTGATATCTTTAACTTTATTCTCTCTTTCAATTCGTTCTCTCTTAATTATTATTATTATTACTATTTAACTTTTCTATCTCCAACATTCTTTCTTTATAACAAATCCTCTTTCTCTACCTAATATTCTCTATTATTAGAAAAAAAAAACACTCTCCAACTCATATCTCTAGCTCTCTTAGCTTAATTAACTTTTCCATCTCTAAATTTTCTCTCTATTTATTATTAAAAAATATAAAACAAAGAACCGTTAAAAATACATATATAATTTTTGTCTTTTAAAAACAAAAAGCCAACACAAAAAATCAGAAATCAGAAAAATCAAAATACTCTTCAAAAATAATTAAAAGTGCCTCATGCATTACTTTATTTTATTTTATTCTACAATAATACTGAAAAAAAATTAAAGCAGAATTAAACTTGGTGATAAATCTTTGAATCGAGCCTATATAAGAACAATAATTTTGGATAAGAAATTGGAAATCCCAAAACTCCAATTTATTTATTAAGAAAAAAAATTCTAAATGTGACGGGGCATTCTTCAACCCAAATGACTTCAACATGGCACTTGCATGTGCCAACTTATTTACAAAACCGCCCAGAAAGTTCAACATCTATTTTCTTAAGAACAACTTCAATAATAGAAAAACGGTAATATCCAAGATGCCGTTATTAGTCTGTTTTTAATTTAGTCCTCTCTTTTGAAATTTTAAAATTTAATAGATTTGAAATTTGATAAATCATTAAATTAGTATTTTATTAGTATTTTATTAATATATTTAGACATATAAATACGTCACTTAGACTATTTGTCACATGATATTTGGCCAAGTAGGATCAACTGATTAATAAAATTTATTTTTTTTAAGTGCTTGTCCACATGTCATGCTCTACGTTCATAAACCAATAATTAAATAATAAGTTCGTTTGATGTTGACAGATTTTTTTTTTGTGTAAGGACCTAGTTAAATGACAACTTTTAATACATTTTATTAGGGTAAAATTCAGAATTTTAAAAGATTAATCAAAAACCTTAAAAGAATAGAGAAAATTAAGTATATTTAGCCATAGAAAATGATGTAATTAACTATTTTATTATTATTTTATTGTTAATATAAAAAGAGATTGTTATTGTTATGTTAAATTAGAAGATTAATCATTTAGTTTTCAACTTTGTATTTAATAGAGCCACTTGACATTAAAACGTGTCTAATTAGGCTTCAAAACTTTTAATTTTTACGTTAATAGGTTCCTAGACTTTAAAATTGCCTAATAAGTTCTTTGACTTTCAATTTTGTGTATCTAATAGGTTCTATGAGTCCATATTCGATAATTTTTATAATTAACTGATATATTCGACATAAAATTGAGTTGTGTATCACTCACACATTTCAATTTTGTGTCTAATAAATCTATAAATTTTAGAAAATATCAATTAGTCAATGAAGTTGTTAGTTACAATGACTTATTACATACAAAATTGAAAGTTTAGAAATCTGCCAGACACATTCATTAAAAACAAAAATAAAACTTCGGACACTAAACTTGTAATTTAATCTAAAATATTTTTGCAATATTTAAAAAGATAGGGTAGCCAAATTAACTAAAATTAAATTTGTCTTTTTGTCTCTCGTTCCTCCTTTTATCACCCCTTCCACCCCTCCCTTCTCCCACACTCTCCTTTTTCTCTCTGTCTCTATTTTTCCTTCTTCTCTCCTTCTCCAATTTTGCAGTTAGAATTGCAAAAACTTTGCAGATTCTAACGTAGGGGTTAGATTTGGAATATTTTCTGCTCTTCCCTCTCGCTTCTCAGAGAAAGGTACATACAAATATATATATTATATATTTTTAATTATTACTGCCACATATATTATACAATGATCTTACTTTATTTACCATAAAAAAAATTAAATTTAATCAAACGTTGCCACGACAGCAGAAAAACAATAAAAGCAGAAGCATTTCAATAACAATTTTAGTAGTTCAGAAAAAGTAAAACTATATGTGCATAGGCATATATAAATAAATAAGTTAACGTAGTAATTTTTTGGACAGGTTTCTCTAAAAGGAAAAATTATGGAATGTGTTTTGCTTCGCCATCCAGTAATGTTGCCTCGCTACAAAAGCGTAGCGCCAACGCGTTGGAGTTTCAGCGGCGTCGTCTCTGTGGCGCCTCCCGTGGCTAATCTTACGCTGAAGATTGGGAAATGTAAGCAGAAGGGGCTGCGTTATGTTTGCCTTTGCTCGGCTGCTGGATTATCTGCTGGAAACTTGTTTGGTGAAAGTAGTCATGCCAGAAAAAATAATATTGGCCACGAATCTGTGGGGGTTTCGACTAATTTGGGAGTCAACCCTGAAATCTCATTCGAAGGCGATGATTTCGTCGACGATGAGGACGATCCCGACCGCCCGTCCGACGGGTTCTCTTCTGTTCAGACCGCCGTTGATGCCATACGCCATGGAAAGGTTAAACACACTATCTAGAGTTTCACGTACCTTCTAATTTAAACACCTTTTACGTGTTACATTTTCCTAGGAGTGATTTTAATCACATTTTTGTCGGCATTAGCATATTCTTAATATTTGAAAGTGATTTTGACATGGTTGGAATCACTATATTTTTAACCGATAAAAATTGATTTTTGAGAAAATCTAAAACAATTTAAAAGTGGTTTTTGAGGACGAGTTGGTAGGTGATCAAGAGCACTTGTAACAATATACAAAAAATCATTTCGAACCAAACTGATCAATTATAATTAAATAATTTCTACAAAATCAATTATAATTAAATTTCTATCTTCAAAATCCTTGATTGTATTTGTACCTATGATTTTAGAGTGGGTTGGGAAGTAATGGTATAACTGACTTTTCAAAATCAATCTAAAATGATCTTAAATTTTCTTAAAACCAAAATTTTAATTTGCCATGATTTTGACAATAGAAAAGTAATTTACCTGCCAAAATCATTTTCAAACACAGTTTATGATACATTTATTTAGAAGTGATTTTATATGGCGTGATGAAAATCTACCAAAGAAATAAAAATTGAAGTATAAATTGGTAGGTGATTTTTGAAGGATTAGTTGGTAGGCTTGTAATTATTTTAAAATCACTCCAATTAAAACACTTTTTACAAAATCAATTATAATGAAATATTTGATTGTGTTAGTTTGTGATGGTTGTGGATGATGAAAATGGGGATTCGGAAGGGAACTTGGTGATGGCTGCATCCAAAATCTCTGCAACCAACATAACAACCATGGTTCAGCAAAGCTCTGGAATGGTGTATGTGGCAATGAAAGGGGATGATCTTGAAAGGCTCAACCTTCCTCTAATTTCACTGCTCGACAATGGCAATTATGAGACCTCAACTTTCACCATCACAGTGGTATTGCTTCCTAATTTCCATTAACTTCTAAATATCAACTTCTAAAATTTCTAGTTCCATTTTCTTTGCTTCATATTGTCTGTTTTTCTGCAAATATTTCCAAAATATAACCCAATTTCGTATTAATTAAAAATTTTGTTTTGTTTTGTTTGAAATTTTACTAGGAATACACATGCATTTTAAGGAATGTGAAGCAATAAAATATGTTTTTCTAAACAAATTAAGTGAGCGCTCAGCGGTAATTGACATATATTTTTAATCATTCAATCCCACTTGTACTCGAAAAATTCTTTTCTAAAATAGAAAATTATAAACAAAATTGTTATTAAAGATAATTGTATATTTTTTTCTATTGTTTAAAAAAAGAGAAGAAGAAAAAGAGAAAATATTGATAGATTAGTGAAAAAGGGAAAATTATGTTGAGAAAGTGATAGTTAGTTAGGTTTATGAACACAATCTCTAAAGCTGAAGAATAGTTCAAAGGTTGTAAAGTTTTTTTGGAATGTTGTTAAAATATTGAAAGATTGTGTTGATTACAATGTTGGGATCTTTCTAAACTTATACTATTCTTCTTACTATGTGATATTTTGAGTATTTAAACTATCTTTAATAAAATATGGCATAGATATTAATTAAATATAATTAGTTAGAGAAAATTATAATAACGGTATTGTAAGGAATGACAAACAAATTTGCTATATTTGCTAATACAGTGTGAAAGTAAATTTTGCAAATATGATAATTTGTTAAGGTGATGGTAAACATCTATTAATTCAACAGTGATAATCGTTTATTCACGTGTATTAATTTATTACTTGGGTATATAAGTGTGATAGATGTCTATAGTACTAGTAGGCATGCCAAACAAATTATGGCATATTTGTAAATATTTTTAATCTGTGTTGATTTTTTTTATTACTTTGGCTAAATTATAATTATATAAACAACCAACCACAATTAAAATTAATATAGTAAAAATATTGAAACAAAAGTTTTTATTATTTTTAAAAAAGTCAAACAACAGAATCTTTTCACAGTGTATCTCAACTTTCGCCGCTGGATGCGGTTTTTGGGTTTTGAAATCAAATACTCGATTTGCACGGTTTAATTTTAGAAAATTAAGCTTATAAATATTAATCTCACGGAATATTTTTAAAAATTTTGTTACCTATATATATATTTTTTAATATTGTCAAAAGTCAGGATTTGAAAATAAAAATATGACTTTTTATTTTTAAAATTTGGCAAGTTTTTCTTCATAAAAATCATAATAAAGAAATGGTGCGAAAATAAATATAATTTTTGAAAAAAAAAGAAATATTATTAAGCAGGCATCATTTTTTTTCTGTTTAAAAAATTCGTCTATAAATTAAAAAATATTAATATTCTAAAATCAAAAGATATAATTGATTACGGAACAACCTTATTTTCTAAAAACTAAAAAAAAAAAAAAAGATAACAGAAAACATCATCCAAACAACACAACTATGATTTTTAATATAGTTGACCGAGGCTTCACTAAGGAGAGCGTTGGGAATATTTTGATCTAAAAAGACAATTCTTCAAAATTCTAGTCTAACAATGAAACATAACAAAGTATTAAAGTATTTGTTGAAATATACATATATAAATTAAATTTATTCGACTTACCAACTTTAGTTTTTGGAATGAGTGATAATTTATCATCATTAATAATGTGCCTTATTTGATGAGGCAGGATGCGAAAATGGAAACGTCGACGGGAGTATCAGCTGCAGATAGAGCAAAGACCATAGTTGCTCTATCATCTCCCGAGTCAAAGCCAGAAGACTTCCGGAGGCCAGGCCACGTGTTTCCGGTGAGGTACCGAGACGGTGGCGTTTTGAGGAGAGCAGGTCACACTGAAGCTTCTGTGGACTTAGTTGCCCTTGCTGGGTTAAGGCCAGTTTCTGTTCTTTCACCCATTGTTGATGCCCATGATGGCTCCATGGCTTCACTCTCCAAACTTAGAAGCTTGGCTTCTCAACATGATATACCAATTGTCTCAATAACCGACTTGATAAGGTAATTAAAGACCGATTTAGTAATGTCTCTCGTTTCTAATTTTATAAAGAAACCTAATTATTTTTGCAACAAATAGTTGTTTGTATTAATATTCCTGTGTTCTATCTCAAAACCAATTGACTATAAGAGAGGTAGTTATATTATAAACAATTGTTAGGTTCCTTGGGATCCTTAACAATTTATTTCTCATTGAGAAAAAAAAATTCTCAACATTGTATAAAAATTTTAGAAACGAACAAACTTTCTTATTTCTTATTCCGTTTATAATTTGTTCAAACACATCGTTATTGAATTCAACTATGTAGTCCATGTCTATTATAAACGATGGTTAGGTCTCTTTTCTTTTATTCAATGTGGATTCTTAACAATCTGTTTCTCAAAATTATATAAAAATTTTAAAAACGAACAAAATTTCTTATTTCTTATTCGTCCGTTTATAATTTGTTCAGAACATATAAATAAAAATATTGTTTTATTGAATTCAACCATGTAAGAAACAAGAAAGAAATGAAAACCTTATCAAACCGGGACTAAATTAGGGTATAGGAAAAGGTGGGACTCATTTTTTTTTTTCCTTTTTACCCAAGATATATAGATCGTATCTTGTAGTCACGATCTTATTTTATTGATCCATTTGTTTTTTTGCAGGTACCGAAGAAAAAGGGAGAATTTGATTGAAAGAATTTCCGTTTCTCGGCTGCCAACTAAATGGGGGAAATTTCAAGCTTACTGCTACCGCTCAAAGTTAGATGGGATTGAACACGTGGCCATTGTAAAGGTAAAAAGATTAATTTAATTTAATTTAATTTAATTTTATGTATGTTGTGGAAATTAAAAAGCATCGAAATTAATTAACTAATGAATTAATTAGAACTGTTCACTGGTATGTTATTAAAAAAAGGGAAACATTGCGGAAGGGCAAGATGTTCTTGTGAGAGTCCATTCGGAGTGCTTAACTGGGGACATATTCGCGTCTGCAAGATGCGATTGTGGCAACCAACTGGACCTGGCCATGCAAATGATCGAGAAGGCTGGGAGAGGAGTTGTGATTTACCTGAGAGGCCACGAAGGAAGAGGGATCGGCCTCGGCGCCAAGCTTCTCGCCTATAATTTGCAGGATCAAGGCCATGATACCGTGGAAGCTAATATCGAGCTCGGGCTGCCCGCTGATGCCCGAGATTACGGAGTCGGTGCTCAGGTCAGTTCCTAATGAATTAAGAACAACAATAAGTAAAAGGAAGGAGATTATTATTCTGAAAATAATGAGTTGTCAAATATTTAATAGCAGTAACTGAAAGTTGCTGAGGCCGATTGGTCGCTATTAATAGTAGTAAGGAGAAAATTGTTGAGCCAAATATTTTCCTTTTTTGATTGATTGGTAGCTATTAAAAATTTTGACTACTATTTATTTTTCGAATAAAATAAAATATCTCTATTCTCTATTATTTTCTACATTTATGTGTCTTACTCATTAAAAGAAGGTATAAAGTTAAATGACAAGATGCATCCGTGAAATTTTAAATTTGTGTTTAATTGGCCTCTAAAATTAAAAAAAAAATTTAAGAATGTTTAAATGATAGATTATTGATGTTTAAAAACATTTAATAGATATTTTAATGCTTTCAATTGCATATCCAGTAGGTTCTTTGATATAGTTAACATTTTTTAAAATTGAAAAATTTGTTATACATAACATTTTTTAAATTTTGTGTCCAATATTCTAAAGATTCAATTATATATCTAATAAGTTCATTAATTTCAAAAGATATCAAATTAGTCAATAATTTATTTGATGTAAAATTGAAAGTTTATGGATGGGACAATATAAAATCAAAAGTTTAATGATGAGAAGCTTTTTAAAATCCAGAAATTATTAGTTACGAATCTAAAAATGTTGTTATAATTGGAAAAAAAAAATATAGGTGTGTGAGATGCTTATTTATTTAATTTTGAATTGGACGGTGGCAGATGCTGAGGGACATTGGAGTTAGAACGATGCGGCTAATGACAAACAACCCTGCGAAGCTGAAGGGGCTGAAGGGATATGGACTGGCGATGACCGGGAGGGTTCCTGTGGTGACGCCCATCACAGATGAAAACAGAAAGTATTTGGAAACCAAGAGAACCAAGATGGGCCATGTCTATGCCAAGAGCCCATTTACAGGGATCAACCCAAAAACCGCGGCAGAGGCCGAAGCTTAGCGCTCGACTCTGTTAATTAAATAAAGGGGCATTCGAGTTTTTGCTCGTAATGTCCCTATTGTCTGTTACTTTCTGTTTGTTGTCTGAATATGACTCAATTAAATGGATGAAATTCAATAAAGTCTAACAGTTTTGAATATTGCAACTAGGACTATGGATTTAAATTCAGCTTTTTGATAATTTTAAAAAATATTGGGGATGTCTTTCAAACAACTTTTAGATTTACCGTGTTTAGGGAGGAAAATCGCTCTGCCACATGGAGGACAGGGAAGCGCCCATGTAGGTAACCTTCAAGAACAGGTCCACCTCGAACCTTCCGAGGAGGATTACTTAGTCGTTTACTCCACATTCTACCCATGTTAAGGATTCAACCTACACCATGACCGACATGCCGAGTACGACATGTCCGATCTACTATCCGACATGAATAACTGACGGTCGGAGGTTTATTGAATCCCAAAACCTATAAAATAGAGAGCACCATTTTCAAACGAGGTATCCAATTTCTCCTCGAACTTACACTATTGAATCCGAGTTGTTTTACTGACTTGAGCGTCAGAGAGTTTGCCCTCTTGTGTAGTCGTACCGCAGCATTTTGAGTCAGCAAGCTTACACGTCCGATCTTGACCAGGTCTGACCTTGTCCCATTTTTTGCATAAACATTTTGCATCATCTGCGGGAAATGACATTTTAAGTCATTCCTACTACTGAACATCCGAGATGGTCCAGCCAATAACCTCTGTTGATTCATCGAGGAATCCTAGTCGCCAAGTTAACAATGGCGACCAAAATCCACAGGATGAGGTTGTTGGGTATGTTGCCCGAAACTCGTAGTTTGTAATTATGTAAGAACAAATTTATATTCAATCAATTTGTTGTTGAATTATAGCATTGCATTGTCCAAATCCAATAAACTAAACGTCCAAGGTTATTATCATGTAACCGAGACCGTATATATATTGGGTTATATTTGATATATCCTCGATATACAAGTGGATAATGTCCTAGGAATAACCTAAAGGGTCTATAGTATATGGATAAGATTGGGTACCTTATCCTGACAACACTATGGATATTGCCCACTTTGTAAATGTTATTGATAACCCGATCTAGGTCATTCGTGTGGAGACATGCGAGTGGAGGTATCCTATACAATGAGTTTGTATAAGACCGGACCGCGGAATATCTAATATTTAGATGTAACACCGTTGACTAACAAATTGCTATTTCATAGAATGACCCGGTAACTCATTTGCAATCCTGAGTGAGTTATGAACTCTTACCAGTGAAAGCTCGTTCTTTGATCTATATAGGTGAGAGTGGTCCGAGTCGCCGACTCAATACTTCTACCATTTTGGGGACGAGACCGAGTGGGGAACTGAGAACATAACTTTACAAGATCAAATTCACTCCTCTCCGACTTTAGGGGAGTACATGAGTGTTCTCTTAAATGCTGACTTTGGAACTTGAATGAGGGGCCCCACCCTCTCACTGGCCCAAGAGGGACTTCTGGTTATTGGTCGGACCATAACCGGGTTGTTCATTAAAGGAGTAGTGATATTTAACGAGTAAGATGTAGCACAGGGGTAAAATGGAAACTTGACCAATATGTGGTTACAAACACTCGTTAAGTATTGACTTGCCATTAATGGTCAATATCCATGGACACATAAATATTTTATAGTGAGAAGAGTTCAGCTGCAGGTTTTTAGTGAAGTAACTCATAGGTAACGTATGTTGATTAAGGTGGTTAATGAGTTTAACCAATTAATATCGTAATATTGGAGCTTCTGATCTATAAGACCATTAGGTTCTCTTGCTAGCTCGTAAAGGATAATTAAGAACATTAAATCTTAGAAGAAATTTGAATTGTTCAAATTTAATTAAAGAGAATTTGAGTTAATTATGTATGACACAATTTAATATAATGTATGATGATACATTATAAAACTATATATTATGAGAGAATAATGTGAGTTGGATTCATATTAAAACTATAGTAAATTTTAATTTGAATTGGATTCATATTAAATACTATAGGTTAAAGTTTAATGTGAATTAGATTCATATTAAATACTATAGGTTAAAGTTTAATGTGAATTAGATTCATATTAAATACTATAGGTTAAAGTTTAAGGTGAATTAGATTAATATTAAATACTATAGATTACGAGGGATATGTATATTCGAATATGATTCAAATATTAATAATTTAATTAAATGTGATTTAATTAAATTATGTTTAATTAAAAATTAAAAATTAATTAAAAATTAATTAAATTAAAATAGGTTTTAATTTAATTAATTAAATTTAATATATATATGTTAACCATAATTAACAAACCCACCATTTCCAACATTTTTGTTGTGAAATGTTGAGGTGGAGAGTGGGAGGTCTCTTCCCTTATACTTTTAAAACATAGAGAAATCTCTGTGTTTTTGGTTGGTTGATTTTACTCATAATCTTGCAAATCAAGCAATTCCCTTTCATTTTCTTTCCAAGCAGGATCTCACAATCCCTTCTTGTTCCTTGAGACATAGCAATGTTACTAAGTGGTGGTGTTCTATCGTGAATATGGGAACGTTTGTTCGTGCCAAGTCAAAATCCGAGTTCGAGGAAGAAGAATTCCCAACCGTCTTCAAATGTAAGTTTTCTTCCTCACGTAAGGCTTAACATCCGTTTAAGAATAGAATAGGTTATGTTTTTAACACAGGTATTGTTTCGTTTCTTAATTGAGTTAAATCACAAGCGATCAACCGCTTCCATTGGGGATTCGATCCCATCAATTGGTATCAGAGCTGAATTCTGATTCAATTTCGTTTAGGACAAAATGGTACTGGTTTTTGGTAGGTTAGTGTTATGCATTTGATGTATGTTGATTGGCTAGTAGATGCTTGTTGGAAAAAATTAAATAAACCCTAATTCATAATTATTCTAAAATAAAAGCCATAAAATTCTAGAACAATCAAGGCCAAGGATCTAAGCATGGAAGAAAACCAAAATCTATAAATAGATTAGAATTACCTGAAACCATTAGATAAATTGATCATGATCTGCAAGAAGTTGTGGTTTATGGTCTTCCTCAACTATGCAACCCAGACCAAATATGGGCAATACTCTCTGTTTGATGGGGAACAAGAGACTCAAGAAGCATAGTGTATTGGGGACCATAACCATATATTTATAGGTTAATCCTAGGGTTTCCCATAATCCCCTAGGATTAATGGGCTGGTTTCTACTCAGCAAGCCACACCACTAAATGGGAAGTCATGGGCCCATAATTAAGATCACTTGTATGTCCATTAAATAGCCCAAATATAATTGCTCTTTAATTTGTTACCCACATATGAATCAATTATTAAATTAATTCCAACAATCTCCCGCTTGGGTAACAATTTTTTTTATTAGCAATTATATTAATTTAGTTCTTTAGTGCACATCTCAATGTTATTAAAAGAAACTTCTCTTTAATAACAATCCGGTCCATCTCATATATGGATGAAGAACCAAAGCGGTTGTTGTCACATGTATAATCGCGACTCAACCTTCAATGATCACCACACCAAATATACTCAATGACATGAATCAAGTGTGGAAGAACAGCATGAGAATTACATGTAATGTGATCTAAACATGTCTATTCTCAACTGGTCCAACTTTATTCTTTAAAGAGATCTAAATTTATGCTTTCTAGCTTTATGTTAAACTACATTTAGAAAGAAAATCATTCAGAGTAACAAAATAAATCATCTTCTTTATTCTGCAGAAAAGAAAAATAACATGTCTAATTTAAGAAAATACAAACTCCCACTCAACTGACATACCATACTTTTCACATCTATATGAGCATTATGCTTGTAAAACTTTTGTGAAAATTCTTAATGAACGGATCCGCAATGATGAAGTTGCATTTCTTTAAAAAAAAAAAAAAACTCTGAATTTTCTTTATCAACTAAAGCTTAAATATTCATACAAAAGCTTTTGTTGCTGTAATATGGAAAAATACAAATCTTTGTCAAAATAACCTAATGACAAAATTTAATAACCATATTCTTAAGTTCGTTGCCACATACAAAATGCTATAAACACAAACTTTAGTGGTGAAATGGACTAAAGTGACTCTCTACCACGAGATAGTAGTATCCTTTAACATATTAGTAAATATAGCCTCAAAGGTGGATCTAGATGGCAACTAAAATTATCAAAATCAAATAGCCTTATGATCTCTAATTAATATGATTATGATGAGTGAGCATGCAACTTTTTTTTTAACACCTTATAACTCTTTAGATCCAATTAAGAGTTATCAAAAATTGCCTTTCATTCTTGATATGAATACTGCAATGGAAGCATATAGACTTTAAGCATGAATTTTTTTTAATTTTACTTTATTATTCAAGAGACCTCTATTGATAGTGAGTTTATCTTCACTAGTGATTCACTATCCCCTAGTGCATAAATCTTTATGCTAGAGAACTTGCAATACCTTTCAACATAGTTCTTTTGTGAATTCTCAATGTTCCTTGAGATTGATCTTACAATATCATTTCACAATATAAAAGAGATATGTTCATGCAAGTTTTCATCCTCTAACAAGACCTTTATTATGTCGCAGGCATATTACACTAGGTAAATAAATTTACTCCCACTAAACCTGTAATTCATAATTATTACTCCTATTACCTTCCGATATTACATATGATAATATCAATATGTAATGAAAATTATGAAATTGCAGATAAAAAATTCTTCATTGAGATCACAGATGAATATARACCTTTTGAAACTTTGTGTTACTAGATCAAAAGTTTCCAAAATATACAAATTTATTGATTTCATAAATTATACAATTAAGAAACCAATCTTTATATTCATCTGACAAAACTCAAAAAGTTATAAGTATTCTCATTTACTTGAAATAACTTTTCGAGAAGCCATAGAAAAGATCTCTAAAAAATTAATGTCAGCCTTAAGATTTGAAACCATAACAACTAGATGAGCCTTATATTTGTTAACATTTTCTTTTAAAAGCAATATAACGAAATGTAAAATATCATCGTTGTTTGTTGTTTCAACACATAATATAAGTTTTCATATGCAAGTCTAGCTTGTTAAATACCTTAAGTGAGAAGCCAAATTTTCTT